CTCGCGCTTCGCGACCCCATCCGCCACATCACCCAGGTCAAGATGAGAGGGACACCAGCCGAAGGTAGGAGGTGCAGCTTTCCGTGCTTGAGCAAAGTTGCGAATAGACCTCCATATGCCCGCGTGTCGTGCAGCAGCGAGCGCATCAGACTCGTCCCAGCGGTTGCCTTCAGCAACGAGCGCCGAGAGATCTGTGACCAACAGCTTCACTCCTGGAAAGTGTCGTAAGGCTTGTAGAACACAGTGCCGCTCCGCCGCTCCGATAGTCTGCTGTGCCCCTGGCAGGCCTCCGTAGACTGCACGAGCTGGATATCCACCAGGAGACATTTGGGCACAGGCCCAGCCGCAACGTCGCAATTCAGGAATGCTAGATGCCATAGCCGAGCCGCCTGTAAACACGACGCTTGGCCAGTCTTCTGGCGACCCAGCCCAAGATCCCCAGTGCCGAACAGGGGGGTTAGGTTCAGCATGTTGCCAATCTCCTGGTACCTGCGGGAGCCCCACGCTAAGCTCGAAGCACTCGTCGCTGACGATGGGACGATTGATGGTCCCGTTCTGCAGGATCGAGTCGCGGAAAGACGTGAGCTCATCAGCCATGGGATGATCGTCTTCGCCTTCCAGCAGCCACTTGTTAACCGCATCACACTTGAAGCAGACATGGCCAATCGTCTCATCGTCGCTTTGGCAGGCACGACACAGTGAATCACTGACCTTGTTGTGCGCTGCAAGTCGTCAAGCTCGTAGCCCGCGCGCCCACAAGATCGCACCGGGCTCCCGCTGTTCGTGATGTGCCAAGATACGTTGCATCTGAAATCGCTGAATACCTGCTCGAAGTAAATCGCGAAGTAGTAGAGGGGCAACCTGCAAAAGTGACCAACTACACCCCTGATCATCTTGCACCACCGTCGAAGACAACATACGCCATCCTACCCTTTGCAAGGACAACGTGACCACGCCAATCGGGCCTCGAGCCGTACTCCAACTGAGAGAAGTGGCATTGACTGCTTGCCAGGCTCGTTCTAATCTGCCCAGGCCCACGAGCTGTTCCCACACCAATCTGTGGTAATAGAACAACGGCCCAGTCGTCGCGTCAAAGATGGGATCATACCATGGGTCTCGCTGAGTCGCCAAGTAGAGAGTACTGCTTGCTCCGCGCTTGGGGTAGCCCGCCATGGTGGCGGAGACGCTCCTCATGACCTCCAGCTCCTTGTCAGACACGCCGCTGACCGCCGACCCGCGAGCCACAGGCGGCAGTGGCCCCGTTCTCCACAATCGCGTAACCTTGGTACCCACCGTACGTCGAAGTGCATGTACACGATGAGCACGCTGCTTGAGACTTGCCAGCCGCTTCTTGGCAATGGTGCGCCTTACCACTGGCCCATGCAACTCATGCCCCAAGTTCCGCATGTGCGGCTTAGACGGGATGTGGCAGTAATCGGAAGCCGCCTTAGATGCCTTGATAACCGCGGCCGACGTGGCGACAAAACCTGACTTGCTGGCCTGAATGATGAGCCCTACCTCCTTGACATCCATGATGAAACCCTTCAGCGCCGACCAGAAGCCACTGAGATGCTGTATTGAACTGCCAACCCACTGTGCAGACACGTCATCCACCAATGCTCGTGGTATGATATCATATCTAGCAAGTCGTCGAATGGCCTTCGCTGTGAGTACCGTCAGCATAGTTGTGGACATACTGCATCCTGCTAAGATACCCTGCGCGGATCTGTACCATACAGAGAGAGACCCATGACATTTGAGCGTTCTGGGTTGTAGATGGTACTGCAGCGTCATCCACGTAAGCAAGACAGGAAAACCTTCCAGCCGAGACTGATCCAATAAAGCGGACGGCGAGACCGACTCGAATGCTGTCCATGCGTCAAGAAGAGCTGTCACAGAAAACTCGCCCAGGTAGAAGGCCATTTCCGCTGTGATATTGATCCACCGCAGAAGCTGTCGAGGACCTCCCAGCACCACCTGTACCCCAAATGTTGGGAATCTTGGCGTTCCGAATCCAACGCTTGGCCACCGAAGATCGGACCCGTGCCCATAGCCGTAGTAGGGTGTTGACCAGGCATATAAGGCGACTACCACCGTCAGGTTTTGCCAACCGAACAAGGACATTCACAATGCGATCCCCAGGCCACCAGCCAAGGTCTTCGCAGCGCGAGAACAACAAGTTAACCACTGCCAGGCCCTCATCCGACACGTGCCATAGCGCTCTAGGCGCGATCCCCGTTTGTCCCACTGCCGTGCGCTCAGGAAAGGAAAGAGAAGCCGCACGCAGTTCAGGAACACCGATGGCTGGCAGCTTGGGCCACGAAGAAAAATCAGCAGACCTGTCGGGTAGATCATAACCGTGATGTTGCCAAACCTCGCGCCACGTGACCATCTCCCTATCTGCGAGTGCGTGAGGACTGCCATACACCATCGGCTTCAACTTCCCAGGCGCCTGCTGTACCTTCGTAAACCGATGTGCAGCACTAGCGCCACGAAGAAAAGATCGATCTGCCCAATCTTTCCATGCCTTGTACTTGTCGGTGACGGCCTGCTTTGTAAAGGTAGACGCCTGCTCAACAATGTGCTGGACCATACCGTCGAAGTCGCCATGCAAGAAGATCGCGATACCTGAAGTGAAGAACGTTCTAGCCACATCGGTAAGCCCAGCAAGGATCCGCTTAGCCTGAGCAATTTTGCTTAAGAAAATCGCAGCTTCCTTGGCGATCTTAACCACGTGCCCGCATTGCTGCGAAGAAACTGGGCACAAAGCGTGGGCACCCTGAAGACGCTGACAGTGCTCTCCAAGATGGACACGTACTCGCACAAGGTGAGATGCCCACCGCTCTGCCACCTGCCAACAGTTCACCTCTTGAGAAAGATAAGTACGTTTTCGTGGCGGCTGCCACGACACCTTTTCCCACTTCCAAGAGACATCACCAGCCCGTCCAAGATGTTTGCGATGATTGGCACCTCGAAGCTGCCACCTGTCTGCCAAGTCTTGCTCGAGCTGCCGTACCACCTCGTCCCAGGCCACCTGCAGCGACGCGATGTCATGCGCGTCCAAGACCGCCAATCGTGCCTGACGCCAAGCACCACGCCGAGGGTAGTACGAACCACCAACGGGAGGAACCGATCCGAGACCCGGCGGCTCGTCCATTACCCTTCGCCACGTCGGAATATCATGTGCCAACAACGAATGCCGTACAGGCGAGTGTGTAGCTATTGCAGAGTCATACAGCACCTCTGGCTTCTGCATGCGCGTGTTAAGGTTGTTGGCCACCAGTGCGTAGTCAAAAACCGTGCCCAACATACTCTTATGACAGGTAGAAGTCTCGGAGAAAAGAAGACAACCATGCACCTGTTCCAGCCATTCATCAGCCCAGACCTCAGGTTGTAAGTTCCAATCACCAAGAACAATCCAGTCCATGCCCAAGAAGTTGAGCAGTCCAACATACTTCAGAATACCTGAAATGATGGCCATGTTGCCAGCGTCGAGGCCCTGGTCGTCGTATAAGTACACGCTCATCACGACGATGCCTTTTGGCACTCCCCAATGCAGGTGTGCTGCCACGAACCTATCCTCGGGTAACTCCACCTGCGCGCGAAAGGGAGCTTCAGTCACAGTAGTGTCAGTAATCACCAACACCGATACCCCAGCTCTCGTGCCGCCTGCTTCAGTGACCGAGGCTGGCGACCAACATCCATGGTAACCTAGGTCACGTGCTTGTCTTTGTATGGGCAGCAGCCGATCGCCATGAGCATGATGCTCTTGCTCCGCGAAAACTTTGCCTTCAGGTTTTTGAGGCAAATAATCAATAAGTGAGCCAGCGCCCGTGACATTAACCGTGGTAAGCCGCCCTTGCACCCGCAGCCCCTCGTGTCCGTCACGAGTGTCGCGATGTAGCGGTCGAACTGGTTCAGGAAGGTGGGCTCGATCTTGACTATACTCGCCCTCTTCCAGATCACCAGCAGCCTGATCGTCATCGCGTTTAGGACGGCGGGGGGCAGGATGATAGTTGGGCGCCCGTGTTTGCAGCAATCTCCTCATCATGGCCCGAAGTTCAGCAAGTTCACGCCAGTGACGCATCTCGAGCTCGTACCTATCCATAGGTGGCATATCTGCCAGCCGCTGCAAGAAGGCCGTGCGACGAGGTGCTGCCTGCAAGCTCTGGCACATAGCTCCTCAATGATCTGAGTGAGTGCACGGTGTGGGAACCAACGCAAGAGAGCAGCCCGTTGCCCATGATTGCCACCTCGCCGAAACATCTCATCCAAGAAAAGGTCGCACCACCGCCTCCAGTTGTTGTCGCCCTCCGGGCCGAACACCAAGTCGCCCATCCACATAGCTGCCCAAGGCTGCAGGTCCTGGCGCATAGTGACGTAATCGTCCGTAGCCTGCTCCCGTTGTTCACGAACGTGGCCGAAAACTTCAGGAGGTGGAAGACCCATAGCAGAAGGTGGCTCTGTCTGAGCCTTGATCCGCCGCGTTCTTTTCCAGTTTCCTTTCCCTTTTTGGCGACGAGGCATGTCCCCCTGGGAGCAGGCCGCGCGGTGGCCGCTAGGCCGAGCAGGCCAACCCAGGTCCCTGGATTCTCTGAAGCCCTGGGCCTCTGAAGACGGGGGTTCCGTCGCCTTGGGGGCAGCAAAAGCAGAATCTGATAACGCCACCTCCATGCCTGGCTGCAAGCCCAGAGAAGATTCTGCTGCCGTAAATAATGTGGCCAATCTCGACGTAGCACCGCTCAGCTCCTCTCGTGTTACCACGTATAGCTGCCAGAAATCGCCAAGAATGTCCACCTGCTGTTGTCCATCATGAATTGTGCGCGTCATGGTGATATCAAAGAATGATTGCCAATATCCAGCACCATGCAGCCATGCCCAATCATTCATACGGGCTGTAGCGTGATACGCGCTTGTGCATGTGGTTAGCTGCAGCCCGTAGTTCGCCGAGATCCAACTTCGCAACTGCTTCGGAGTCGACGACCCCAGATTCGACAAAG